TTTTCTCTGTATATTTTTATATTTTCTATATATTTCTTTCTATTTTTTCAGTAGAGACAAGGTCTCGCTCTTGCTCAGGCTGGCCTCCAACTCCTGACCTCGAGCGAGCCTCCCGCCTCAGCCTCCCTCCCGAGTAGCTGGGACCACAGGCATGCGCCACCACGCCCGGCTCATTTTTTTCTATATATTTTTATTTTGCCAATAAATTTCTTTCTAATTTTTTAGTAGAGACGGGGTCTGGCTCTTGCTCAGGCTGGCCTCCAACTCCCGACCTCCAGCGATCCTCCCGCCTCGGCCTCCCAGAGTGCTGGGACGACAGGCGTGAGCCTCCGCGCCCGGCGAGAGAATGGCCCTCTGTCGATGGACTCAGGACACCAGCCCCGTGCCGGGCGGCTGTGCGTGTCCAGGTCACAGTGACCAAAGGGACGGAGACGTCACGAAGCTCCCGTGCGTGAGGGAAGAGGGGACAAAGTGCAGTCTGAGATAGTAAGCACGGGCCGGGCACGGAGGCTCGCACCTGTCATCCCAGCACTCTGGGAGGCCGAGGCGGGAGGATCGCTCTCGAGGTCAGGAGTTGGAGGCCAGCCTGAGCAAGAGCAAGACCCCTGTCTCTACTAATAAATTAGAAAGAAATTTATTGGCAAAATAAAAATATATAGAAAAAAACGAGCCCAGCGTGGTGGCGCATGCCTGTAGTCCCAGCTACTCGGGAGGGAGGCCGAGGCAGGAGGATCGCTGGAGGCCAGGAGCTCGAAACCAGCCCGAGCAAGAGCGAGACCCGTCTCTACTGAAAATAGAAAGAAATTAATTGGCCAACTAATATACAAAGAACAAACATTAGCCGGGCGCGGAGGCTCACGCCTGTCATCCCAGCACTCTGGGAGGCTGAGGCGGGAGGATCGCTCGAGGTCAGGAGTTAGAGGCCAGCCTGAGCAAGAGCGAGACCCCGTCTCTACTAAAAACACAAAGAAACGAGCTGGACAACTAGAAATATATAGGAAAAAACGAGCCGGGCGTGGTGGCGCACACCTGTCGGCCCAGCTACTCGGGGAGGCCGAGGCGGGAGGATCGCTCGAGGTCAGGAGTTGGAGGCCGGCCTGAGCGAGAGCGAGACCCCGTCTCTACTGAAAATAGAAAGATATTAATTGGCCAACTAAAAATATATTTAAATAAAAAACGAGCCGGGCGTGGAGGCGCATGCCTGTAGTCCCAGCTACTTGGGAGGGAGGCCGAGGCGGGAGGCCCGCTGGAGGCCAGGAGGTGGAGGCTGCTGTTCACTCCAGCCCGGGCGACAGAGCGAGACTCGGCCTCAGAAAACCCAGAGAGCTGGTGGTGGAGAGCGACGCGCACAGGAGACACGCGGGTGACGGGACGAGGACACGACTGTAGCCGAGGCCGCAGGCGCAGCCTCCCCCGGCAGCCTCCGCAGACGGGGTGGCGAGGACACAGTGCACAGAGGGTGCTGGGGGACGGCGCATGCGTGGCTTGGGGAGAGGGGGGGAACGGCGCATGCGCGGGGTGCAGGAGGACAGCCCACGGGGGAGGAACAGCGCATGCGTGAGGTGCAGGAGGATGGGAGGAACAGCGCATGCGCGGGGTGCAGGAGGACAGCCCACGGGGGATGAACAGCGCATGCGCGGGGTGCAGGAGGCTGGGGGGAACGGCGCATGCGCGGGGTGCAGGCGGACAGCCCACGGGGGAGGAACAGCGCATGCGCGGGAGGACAGCCCACGGGGGAGGGAACAGCGCATGCGCGGGGTGCGGGAGGCCAGCCCACGGGGGAAGGACAGCGCATGCGTGAGGGTGGGACGGAAGACAGCGCTTGCATGGACCTAGGGTGAGGACCGCGCATGCGCGGTGTGCATGGGGGAGCACAGCGCATGCGCAGTCGCCCCGGCCCGCCTTTCCCGGCGCGGGGGACAGTCGGGGCCCCGGCGGCCACGGGTGTCGGGGACGGGGGCGGGGACCGGGACGGGGACGGGCGGCTCACCTGCACGGGGTCCACCGTGTCGCGCACCACGCACAGCACGTCGAAGCGCGAGATGATGGGCTCCGTCAGGTCCACGTTCTCCGCGAACGTCAGCGACGGGTCGTAGCGGCCGCCTGCGACACAGGACGCGTCTGCCACGGCCGCCCGCCTGCAGCCCCGCGACCCCGTGCACCTGTGACCCACCCTGTGCACCCCTGACCCTGTCACCCACCCAGCGACCCTGTGCACCCGCGACCCTGTCGCCCACCCTGTGCACCTGCGACCTGTGCACCCGTCACCCTGTGGACCCGCGACCCTGTCACCCACCCAGCGACCCCGTCCACCCCTGACCCTGTCACCCACGACCCTGTCACCCACCCCACGACCCTGTCCACCCGACCCTGTCACCCACCCTGTGCACCCGTGACCCTGTCACCCACCCAGCGACCCTGTCCACCCTGTGACCCTGTCACCCACCCAGCGACCCTGTCTACACCTGACCCTGTCACCCACCCAGCGATCCTGTCCACCCGTGACCCTGTCACTCACCCTGTGACCCTGTAACCCACCCCGTGACCCTGTCACCCACCCAGCGACCCTGTCCACACCTGACCCTGTCACCCTCCCAGCAATCCTGTCCACCCGTGACCCTGTCACTCACCCTGTGACCCTGTAACCCACCCGTGGCCCTGTGCACCCGTGACCCTGTAACCCCGTTATCCTGTCACCCCGTTACCCTGTCAGTCACCCTGCGACCCTGTCCACCCGTGACCCTCTGCACCCGTGCACCTGTCACCCCCTGCACCCGTGACCCTGCCGCCCCATGACCCCGTGCACCCGTGACCCTGCCGCCCCACAACCCTGTGCACCTGTCACCCTGTGACCCCGTGCACCCAAGGATGACGGGGAGCAGAGGCTGGACGCGGAGGCTCACGCCTGTCATCCCAACACTCTGGGAGGAGGCCGAGGCGGGAGGCTCACTCGAGGTCAGGAGTTCGAGACCAGCCTGAGCAAGAGCGAGACCCCGTCTCCACTAAAAAAATAGAAACTTCAGGCATGGATGCTCTTTTTGCCCAAAAAAAATAAAAAATAAAAAAAATAGAAAGAAATGAGCTAGACAACTAAATATATATATATATACACACATAAATATATAAAAAACTATAAAAAACTGAGCCGGGCGTGGTGGCGCATGCCTGTAGTCCCAGCACTCTGGGAGGCCGAGGCGGGAGGATCGCTCGAGGTCAAGAGTCTGAAGCCAGCCTGAACAACAGGAGTAGAGCCCCGTCTCTACTAAAAAAAAAACACAAAAAACATAGAAAGAAATCACCTGGACAACAAAAAAAACATATATAGAAAACATGAGCCGGGCGTGGAGGCGCATGCCTGTCGTCCCAGCTACTCGGGAGGGAGGCCGAGGCGGGAGGCTCGCTGGAGGTCAGGAGTTTGAGACCAGCCTGAGCAAGAGCGACACCCCGTCTCTACTGTAAAACTAGAAATTAGCTGGACAAGGAAAAAAATATATATAGAAAAAATTAGCCGGGCCTGGTAGCCCACGCCTGTCATCCCAGCACTCTGGGAGGCCGAGGC